GAAGAAGAAGAAGAAGAAGAAGAAGAAGAAGAAGAAGAAGAAGAAGAAGAAGAAGAAGAAGAAGAAGAAGAAGAAGAAGAAGAAGAAGAAGAAGACTTTGGGGAATCATACTCCATGAAACGTTTCAAGTCCCCAAGAGAGAAATACTCCATGGCAATGAAGATAGATTCGTGATTCTCAAACCAACCGTGCGAGCGGACGAAATAGGGGGCATACTATCCCAGTCAATACCTTGCATTATTGAAGATTGCAATATAGTCCATAAACCTACTTGAGACGAGGAAAATCTGATGGTGGCCTCCAGTTCTTTCATGTAATCCCATCGATGACTAGTCGCAGCCGGCTTGCTGATCTCTTTGACGGCACGCAATTGATCCGGCCATGACGGATCAGGATGCAGGCTTGACGTACGGCATCGTTCAAGCCGCACGACACCGAATTTCCCGTGTCCTATCGTTGAGTCAACTTCCCAAACCTGCTCCACTGCTGGCAGTTGACTCGAGTTAGGATTGGGAAGTATGTGTTTCTTGTGCCTAGGGAAGAACTCGGTTTCCAGTTTTGAAGCCGCCACAAGACGTGACTCGCGACTCGCCATGATGAGTGATCGAGTCGGGCAGGGCAAAGGAGATCACTTAGAGAGTTTCTTGGTAATATTATCAAAGTAGTGATCAATAGACTTGCAATAGGGAGATGCGGGCATTTGGGTGCCAATGGCGATGGTGACAGCACGGTTGTTAGGCTGTCAAGAACGCCTGACCTGCCCCGAACCAAATCAAACCTACATATTGCTTGACGGAAATACCCTGGTTTTATTAGGACGCTTGCTGAATAGGTACAGCGCCACGTTTGAAGGCGCCCCAATTGGCGATTTCGCTATCAACGTCAGCCGCAGAAGACCCTGCAGCGCTTAGGTACACAGCCCCCTTTCATACCAAGATAACATTGCTACGCGAACGAATAGCTTAGAAACAGTTGGCGTCAGTTCTCATTTAAAGCCAATTTTTACCTAAAGCAATTAAAGTCGTGTACGCGTGCGGATATGTCTGGTGAGCTAGCACTGGCCGTCCTGGGGTTGGTCGAAGGTTCTATTAAGTCCGTACCAACAACTCTCGATGTTTGATCTTGATCCTAACACATTCTGTCTTCTAGGTTGGTGCGCAAGATCAAATCAACATGCCAGTCGTACCGGGAGGCCGACGAAGGGGTAAAAGAAAGATTTGTGCTTCTCGAGTCTCTTTGGATCAAGGTTGAGATGCAATTAGAATTCTTGGCTAAGATATCTAGCCACCTCACTGATGACTTGGTGCAAAGTCAACTTAACCTCCTTCAAAGACTCAAGGGAAGACTAGCGCAAGCTGCGTCGCAGCTCGAAGCTGTTGACCCGAGGAGTATTGAAAATAAGGGGAAGGCGGCTGATGTTCTGCGGAAGTGGAAGTTTGCACTTGTCAAGAGCAGTCTCGATGAGCTTATGGGCGAGCTGGAGGCTTGGCAGCAACGATTCGATCCATCCTGGTATCTCATGATTCTTATCAGCGGCAAGGTTTTGGACAACGCGCTCGTCGAGTCAGCTGACAGTGATTTGGCACAATCGGATCTAGATTCAAACCCCTTAAACAAGATGCTCGCTATCCGCTCAACTTTAAACCCGGGTTTGAAACCACAGAGCAAGACACACGTCAATCTCAGTCACGATGGGCTCAAAGGAGCACAAGAGTCAGCCATTTCGTTTTCAGCGGCCAGAACAGTTGTGAGAGCTGGGTCGACTAACTTGCTGGTTGTGGAACGGGTATCATGTCCTTCTGGAATGACATCCCAAATGAAGATTGATGTCGGAAACCTAGCTAAGAAGCTCCAAAACGTGGATCCTACCACATTCGGGCTCCTCCGTTGTAAAGGAATCCTTAAGCACCACGACGCTTTGAACAAGTTATCGGCCATTGACGTCGTATATACCACCCCTCTGAACTGTCAGCAACCTCAAACTCTACGCCATCATCTTTCGCAACAGAAGCCCGTTAGTCTCAGCATGATCATGCGAATCGCGAAGCAGCTAGTCCGATCTGTTCATTACGTTCACACTTGTGGTTTCGTGCATAAGAATATCAGGCCCGAGAACATCCTCATCTTCCCAGGCAGCAATAATGGATCATTGGGAGAGAGCTTCCTGATCGGTTTCACTGAGTTCCGCAACGCCAACTTCCAGACCAATCTATACGGAGATGCGGCGTGGCACCGAAATATCTATCGCCACCCTCAAAGACAAGGCCCCTTTGTGCTGGACAGATACGTTATGCAGCACGATATTTACAGCATTGGGGTTTGTCTTTTGGAGATTGCACTTTGGCGATCTTTCGTGTGGTACCCGGCGCCCGATGGCAGCGCGACTCCAGTACCCAGCATGGGTCTTGGCTTTGCCTGTGACGATAAAGACTTTGAAACCACGCAGCTGACTAGCAAGCGGCGAATCAAGGAGCAACTAGTGAGATTGGCTGAAGAAGAACTTCCACCACGCGTTGGGGATACTTACATGAGCATCGTTGTAGATTGTATGAAGTGCTTAGACCCAGATAGTGAGAAATTCGGCGACATCAAGGGACTTGCGGACGAGGATGGGATAGTGGTGGGCGTCAAATACGTAGAACATATCTTAGGCCGGATTATGGAGATATCAGTATAAAAATAATCATATTATCATGCCAGTGGATATCAAGAGATAACAGCTTCGGAAGTGCATCCCATCGCGCTGTATCATAGTCATATTTGCCATAAGTATCATGCTGCATTGTGGTCTATGGGGTCAGTCACGGGGTCTCTGAGGGCCATGGCCACAACTAATCGTAACCCAAATCTGTCCAGGTAAAGAGCCCTACTGCTTCAACTGGTGTCCTCAGCTTGGCGTAACAATGGCTGTGTTCGATCATTCGACTGCGTTATAACAAGCAGTATGTTGCGTAACCACGTCGCTAAGATATTCGCTTGTAAACTTTGATACCTCGTGATCACGACATAGGAGTCGGAAGGCTTCTTCACCCAGATCGCTTCAAGCATACCGTATTGGAGCATCGATATATGATCTAGAAATGTTTGAATAGCACGACGCTGGATGAACCCACGCGCGCGGTAGATACAAGCATCATTCACGGCCAAGTTGCCCACAGGGCGAAGAACGCCGGGCTTAGTAATTTGCGAATTCTATCAAAGTAGCGCGTTCACCCGAAGAGCGATCAGACCTGTTCAAACTTCTATTGACTTAAAAGAAGAGTCGCAATATCAGCGGTGCCCTCACAGTCACATGGAGCTGGGACACGCCGAGCTCATTGGCCTAGGGCATTTAGCGGCGAATATATGGCTAGTAGTAGGTAGGTAACTATTAGTGTGCTAACCTTCTGGAACAGGCGATTGATACGCTAACCTAAACACCCTGAGATGCAATCGTTATTTAAGCTTCTAGGTTAGTTGAGTAGGTACCTCTTTCATAAGAACATCGTCGAGCTGCAAACGTACTGTAATCACGTAGACCTGTTGAATTGGTGGGTAATTCGCTCTAGCTTAGGCCTGAGCACGATCTCAAGTCAGGGAACGTAGGTGACCTGCCTAGTCCCCCTGGTTTCTCGGCGACAGTGGGATTCCCTTGGCTAATGCTGATGGATGATGCCGTACTTCCGTCTCACCAACCTTAGACTAATAACGGCGGGGTGGATCTCGTGGGAGCGTGAGAAAACAAGTGATCGGTAAGCTCACAATTGAAGCAAAGTGGCCTTTCTGCCATCACTGTAAGACCATCTCGATCAATCAAGAAACTGATTGTTAGTCTTTACTCTGTTCACCACGTCTGAACTAAGCATGTCATGGTGACGCGGACGGTGAGCAGACTCGCCCGCCTGCCGGGACACCGCGCGGTAAGCAAATCCCAAATCGTGTTACGATACCATTCTCGACAGAACAGTGCTAAGCTCTCAGGGTCCAGTCTCGGGCGAGAGTGCCGCGAAATGCAGACAGCGCATCGCCATCGAATTCTTTATTAGCAGCAGCCGCTGATACCGCATCTGATGAGCCGTCCTCTCGTGGTCCGCGTTGCAACGGGAGGAGAGGGCCCGACGAGGAAGAAAGTGACACGAGACCAGGCTGGCGCTCAGCATTCCAAAAATTGATTGAGGGCAGCGCAACTGCCTTCGGGTCAATTCTAGTTCTCGGGCTAGCTGGTTATTCCTACCATGCGTACTACAAGGCGCATGTGCTGCGCAAGATGGAAAATGCGTTCGCTGTTGGGTATTCGAGCGTAGAGCTGGCAGCATTGAGTCGCCATGTCAGCGCGACCATCCCGCATTCCAACCTCACAGCTGCAGACTTTGAGGAGAATGACTGGGTGCCGCGATCAGAGCAGGCCATCATCGATAGCATTGTCGACGGCACTATCAAGGGACAGTACCATCTGATCACGGGAGAGAAGGGAACCGGCAAGACGTCCATGCTTCTCAAGGCCATGCGACAGAGTGGCGGCGAGGGTACGGCCATGCTTGAGGCCCACGGCGATCCCGAGATATTCCGCGTGAGGCTAGGCAAGGCCCTCGACTTCGAGTTCCATGAGGACTACATTGGGAGCTTGTTTAGTTTCAAGGGGCCACGCGATACGACCGCCCTGCTCGATATCGAACGCGCCTTCAACAAGATGGAGAAGATTGCACTCAAGCGCAAAGAGCAGGTTGGTAAGCCGCTCGTACTCATCATCACTGGCGCGCATCTAGTGCGCGACGATGCCGATGGTCAGGATCTGCTTGAGTTGATACAACAACGGGCCGAGCTCTGGGCCGCAAGCAACCTCGTCACCGTCATCTTTGTGAGCGACGACTACTGGACCTTGGAACGCCTCATGTGGCAAGCGACCCGCCTGCGTGTAACAACAGTGCACGATGTTCCCCGAGACACCGCTATGCAAGCACTGAGGGCCTTTCGTTTGAAAAACCACAACGAAGACGTGCCAATGCCTATCCTCGAGCAAGTGTACGAAAAGGTGGGTGGGCGTCTTAGCTTTCTTAGCCGCGTGGCCAAATCAGAGAATATGATCAAGGCATGCGACTCCATCTGTGAGCGTGAGAAGCGCTGGCTCTTAAGCCACTATTGGATCCTGGGAGCGGACCTGGACCCTGGCGGGGAAACACAGCAAGACTTGTCATCGGCTGCCATGCTTCTAGCGAAGGCTCTCGTCGACAAAGAGAAAGCGATGAGAAAAGCCGGGACTTACGATGGCCGACTACCTCAGATACCCATCCACGAAGCACAGCAGCTCATGACGAACTCGGCCTGGATCAAGGAACACGAGCACAACAACATCTTCACCATCAACTCCGACGGTATGGTCCAGGCAGATTCTGTCGCAATGCAGCATGCTATGCGCGAGATTTGCGAGCGGGAAGGTTTTGATGAGCACCTCCAAGCGACCTTGGACCGTCTAGATGAGATTGAGTCTCTGCAAAGAACCAGAGAGATCACACTGAAAGATCTACAAGAGAATGGAGAGTATCAAGCCAATATTAGCAATGGGGTTATCTCCATTAAGCTTGGTTCAGCAAAGGCAGCTGAGACCTCGAAGTGATGCCTTTGCAGGGCTTCAGCAGAACCCTGAAACAGTCCCATCAGGTAATGCAACTATTCGTAATACAATATGCATATACTATTTTTATTTCCCCCCCACGTTACCTTGAGAAATGGGCTGTCACCAAAGAGTATATTCCGTACTCCGTACAATGCGTTAAAACACCTCCAGGGTCGAGAATGTTAGCTTGATATAAGAGCCCAATATCTACTAATGCTAAATTGAGTAATACTTATAACAGCGCCCCCTCGCCAAATCCCAGCAGAGTGGTGTACTACGTACTCGTACGTCAACTAACCCGGCCCCCCGTCACTGCCCCGTCGAAGCCCGTCGAAGCCTTCCGGGCCACTGGTAATAATTGAGCCAAACCCCGGTTACAGCCCTGTTGAATCCCTGTCATTATGTCGAGTTAACATTGTACATTGTACATCCTGGAACTGAGCCACCCCAAGCATGAAAATGATTCGACCAAAGCTATTCATTGCTACGATAATCTTCAACGCTTCCACAGCCTCCATGCTCTGGTAACGGCTTATTGGCGCGATCGATGGCAAGGATTATTTGTCGCAACTCAACCAAAGCCACCCCGTTCCAAATATGATTCGAATCCTAAGTCCTCAGCTAGTATTACGTTGTATCAAGTGCGAAGCTTTATAAAATGGCAGGTTGCTCAATGCTTCTTAAGCTTTTCATGAATGGTCATTCATTTCCCTTCCAAACAATTCGTCTCGAGTTCACCTTGAAATCGCTAAGTCCAGTTCCAACTTTGAGGTTTAACCACTGTTACTAGTCTTTCATAAGGGGTTCAAGATGCGCCGCGCTTCAGTGTTGTTCGTCATTCTACAATCCGCTTCATTTCAAACGCTGAATTACCTTCTTGTGGAATACGTCGCCTTAGATAGTTTCTGGAATCGAATGAAGCAAGATCCGATGTTTCAGGAGTATGATAGGGTCTCCCAAGCCCTTTGGGATGCTAAGCACGGGAATCAGACCCGCGCGCAGACTGACAAGACCAACACTGGACAAACAGCAAGGCTTGAACTACCTGCTTCAGACTCAGATGAGACAGATGAGGGTACCTTCTCCGTCCAACCGATTATAGATGTCACCCATGACGTGGAACACCAAAGCGAAGGCCCGGAATCCAGAGCAGAGCCCGAAGTTCATTTAGCAAGCGTACCAACGCAGCAGGCAAAAGATAAAACCTGGCGCACTGCCGTCCTCGACTGTCTAAGGGTATTCTTCATCCAACTCTTTCTTGGACCTCTCTTATATGCATGGCACATATGGCTAGAAAGACTGTTTCCGACTCGACGATCGGCGCGTCAGGACAAGGTGTATACAGACGCTAAGCAGAAGGATGCCGATATCACATTCGCTGAAGACACACGCGAGGAACAGGTCATCCAAAAGTGGCTGCGACAAGGCAAAATCCGACGGGCCTCACTCAGCTGGCCCAATACCTTTGCCAAATGGGCTCTTCGTAAGTAACTACCTACTCATGCATGTCGTGCGGATTTCCCATCGCGTCCTCGGCTGGCATTACTGACTCAATATTTGATATATAAGAATGGACGATTGGGCGGTATTGGACGGACAACGCAAGAGAGTTGCTCGACGCTCTACTAAGGCGCCAATCGCTGTCGAAGTCGCTATTCATGCCTACGGTAAGTCTATCTATCCTGATGCTATCACCAGCACTCCCCAAGCATTCTAACATGCAAGGCACTACCAGACATATGTGTTTTACTGGTTCACACGACGCCTTACTGCCGCACCACTCTGCACGATGCTTTCCTTCCTGATGGTTCCTGCTTCGAAACGCCTGTCTTTCATGTCAGGCGTGACGCTGCTCTGGAATGCTTTGCTAGTGTTAATGTTGAACCTCCTAGCTCCTAGGGTCATCCAGACAGAATGGGTGCAAGGTTACCTGTTTAATATGACGGAGGAAATCAAGATTGAGTCTCAGGGCTTTGCCCATCCTCTTGACGAGCTGTGATAACTGAGCGGCGAAAGGATTGGCAAGTCTGGGAACAAGATCCATTCAACAGGCAGATTATATCACGATTACTTCTACACGGTGCGACCGACAAATAAATGAGTAGTCAGGAGATTGTTTTTGGCGCGTCATTCTTGATTTGTTGCAGAAAGGATATTCTCCTATTCAGGGTTCTTGCAAGCTATTCTGACTAATGTTAAGAACCAACTCGTCATCCACCGTATTATTCTGTCGTGTCTAGTGCCTTACGCTCGAAAGGTTTTAGTTTCCTAATCCCATCTAAGATTTTACACCGTGTATGTGCATGTACGCGTCCTTTGTAGGTGCTTACTCCATGATGCGATGCGCTCCAATCCACTGACCACCTAAGGGCCTAAATCGACATCACATAGCGTTGGCAAAGTTCAAGGAACAATGATTCTCAATTCCTATTCTCCGAAATTCGACGCAATGATAGCATATGTTCTATGGGTCTATACATTATGTGATCTTTGTTCAAATGTCAGCTCGCCATGTCAGCGCAATTTGAACCCTGTTTGTTGCAAAGCATCTTTCAACACATGGCGGCCATGTAATGACTCGACCTTTTCAATTCTCTCCGCGCTCCGATGTGTCCACGCCGGCACGCCCTCTCGTTTCTCCCCTGCATTGAAACTGGCCAGCGTGAAATCATACTCGGCCAGATTATCAGCTTGTCTACCATCGACACGCCACGTTCCTTTGTGCAGTACTTCTTTCTGCGGCAATCGCGGCTTCACTGCCGTCGGCTTAGCAGGATCAGGCCAGCCGATAGCCAGCCCAAACACAGCAATAACACGAGGCGGTAGCCTGAGCAGCTGTGCGAGCTCGAGTGGTCTGTTACGCGCAGCTCCAACGTAGCAGGTGCCAAGGCCCAGCGCCTCAGCGGCAATTGTTGCATTCTGGCCCGCTAAAGCCGCATCCAGCGACGCCATGAGGAACATGTCGGTATACTCTAGTCCTTCACCGCGCAGTTCATGTTGAGCCGAGACCTTAGTTAGGCGGTCGAGGTCAGCGCAGAAGACAAGGAACAGCGGTGCTTTGCGGATAAAGTCTTGGTTACCGCACAAGTCGGCCACTTCGTCTTTATTGCCATCGTCGAGCACGACGACACTCCACGTCTGCAGGTTGGAGGAGGTAGCTGCGCTCTGTGCGGCAGCGATGATGATCTCGAGGCTTCCTTCGGGTAACTTGTCAGGCAGGAAATGCCGTACCGATCGATGTTGAAGAAGCGTCTCTACTGTCGAATTCCTTATCGCAGCGGCAGCATGTGTGATACCTGAACTCGTCGTCGGGCCGTATCTAGCCTGAATAAGACTGGGAATGTTCGCCTCTGCCATTATGACTGGAATCGGGAGAGAAAGAAAGCGTGGAATGCCAATTACCCAACAACGCCGATGTTCCTCTCTTAATATATAAAGGTGTGCATTCAAAAGCCAAGAATATCCCAGCGCAATGTGGTCCCCATCGTAGCTCGCTGTTCGGAGGACAATTGCGCCCGATTGCGTGACCATATGAGCTGAGTAATCTTGGAGATGCTTGGCATCACCGACGAGCAGAAGTGCTGGCGCGATCGACTGCAGACTTCGGCCTCACAGCCAATAGAAACAAGACGTGCACGCCGTGTTGAAGGTTAAGCTATTCAATCTTCGCTTACATGAGACATGGTATCGACGGACCTCCGACGTTCAGAAGGCTGGTCCAATTGTATATAGAGTCAAGGCCAGCCACCAAGACCACGAAGAGATGTGAATGGCTCATAGCAGATTGTTGCATATAGCGTCAAGCCTCAGGCGTACACATCGGCGGACATACTTTATCGTACGACGAGACTTGTTCCGAATATGAATGTGTCTATCTGGAGTGTGTCAAGGTTGGAACTACCGGCTTGGGGATATGCACCTATCATAAAACTATATCTCGATAGACACATGGCCCGTTCTTGTAGGTACCTCTGGAGTCAAGACATAAGGCACGTCGTCCTGTTGTATCAAGCAAACAACCGTAGGATGGGAAGACTATACGTCAATATTTCCCGTATCGGTAAGTCAAAACTATACGTACTTTGAGTACATATGAATCAAACCATAATGAATCACATTGCAACGCTCACTTTGGCCAAACAAGCTCAAGAGCCAAATTCTGAAAGGTGTGTCAAGCCGGCTATGCGCTGCTTTCCCGGGCATGTTACATCGTTGCTTCATGTCTTGGCATGATACTCAGCGACGCATTCGATCGATGGGAAGCTGTATGAGATATTGATGCGGGGGAGGTGATGTAGCTATTTGAGCTCCCATATGCGCCAATTTAACCTTCCCGCTGTCTAAATATGCTACGCAGATCTAATGATGAACTGTATCAGAGCAGTGTAGTATTAGTATGAACACCGATTTCAAGTCATTCAGTGAAAAAAAGAATGTAGACGTTACGTCGATTTTCAGCTTGCCTGCCTGCAACCCTGTTGTGATAATGAGTACCGGATAACCAATGGCCGGCCATCCCCCTACACTGCTGGGTTGAGAAAGGAAGGTAAGAAGGCTAGAGCTACAAGAAAATAAATTCAAAATTATAAAAATAAAATAGAGAAATGATAGAAAGCAACAGTCACGGAAGTATTTGTTCTATTTTCTCCATTGTACTCTGGCTGCAGATGCATCCCTTTCCTAAAACGACGAACAGCATGCTCTTCATTAGACTGCTGTGTTTGCAACCTCGCCCCTCTTCGCCCAATTACCCCATATTCCCCAGCCACCCAGGCACTGCCAGACTATCTACGTAGGCGACTGATGAATTCAGCTAATTAGGGGTATTGGTAACCACTACAATAGCTTCCTACGCGAAAACTTGGGGGAAAAGCACGTAACTCAAGTATTGTCTCATAATGTATCCTAATACCGCAGTGTCAAGTCTAGATTCAACCGTAAAAGCCCGTCTGCGTTCCCAATGGTATTTAACAAGGGATGTCAGCAGTGAAGAACCTATCTCTTAAATTTCACATGTCGTCTAATTTCCTAAAATGGTATCAAGACTCGTTTGATGCTGGTACTCAGCTGTTTCTTGGTAATTACATAGTACAAAACGTGCAGGTGATCGCCATTGACGCTGCCTATAAAAGCTATGAGGAGTTGCTGACTACAGCTGGAAGTAATCATCTGCGCATCCGACTATTGACTACTTCTTCAGCCATTTTGAATTTGCGACACATACGTTATGAATGACCTCTTGCCTTGAGGCATTGGGCATATCTGAGAAGCATACTTCTGCGGCGTAACTCGCGCTAAACTCGGCAGCCAAGAACTCACCTTATACGGCTGAAATGTCACGATCGAAATTGTCAAGTCATAGCGGACCACAGGAACGCATCGGCCGGGTCAACGATTAGAGATGCCGAGCCCAAAGTTGAACTTAGTTGTTGTCAGCAATATCGCTGGCGTGAGATTCATGAGCGACCAGGATGCAAGGATGGTTGTATTGTTTTGCTCGAACTGAAAAATGGTGTCAACTGTCGAAGTTGCTGATAACCTATGTATAAATTGCCTCTCCTCGTCGCATCATCTCGAGGCAGTTGACCGCAAGTCGACATCATATCACCACCTTCAGTTAGTAACCGCGCAACCATGACACCGCCTTCGAGTTTCTTTGCCTTCCTGGCACTCTGCTCAGCCAAAGTGCTTGCGAACCCTACTGCTGCTCTTCTTGGAGACTTGCTTGACATAGTTTCTCTAGATGTAGCGCCACTGATCACTGAAGTTGTGACGACGACTTATCCGGCATCCACGCCAACGACGTATACCACGTCCACCTACGATACTTCGTGCCAATGCCATTATTCGACCATATTCTGGTGGACTCCCCATCCTCACCATTCTTACGACCCCCACCCGTACCCAACGACATCGTCTTCGGCACCAGGTCCTACCACTGTTACCGTGACTGAAACCACAACAGTCCCAACCACGACTACTGTTACAGCTACTGCAACAGTGACAGAACCATGTACTCCGACACTTACTTGCGACAAGGTTAGTATCTCATCTGCTCTAACTGCATTTGTATCATGCACTATAGATGGAATATGAGCTGACCCTTCGCGTATTAGTATGGTTATCTTATTCAAGCTGTCACCTTATACCAAGTTGATCTTTCCACGGGTGACGTGACTGTGGTGAAAGACCACCTAGGCGATGACACAACGATCAACGCCATGGCGTACAACACCCTAGACAATTTCTTGTATGCAAGGCAGAGAGGCAACAACGAGCTCATCCGAATCTCATCTGACGGCACGACCGAAGTCGTCACTACGTTCCCAGATAACAACAATGTTAATATTGGCGACATCGACACAGATGGAAATTACTGGTATGCAGGCGGCGACTCATGGTATCAGATCGATCTGAGGCCCGGTTCAGCGACTTACGGCACCTTGATCGACAGTGGCAAAGTCGACAATCTTGGCTTGAGCATCGCCGACTGGGCATACCTGCCCGTCGGGGGTCCCTACCTGTACTCCGCCGCCCACAACACTACAGCCGGTGGCGGTACCACGCTCATACGATTCAGTCTTGACACGAAGAAATACGAGGTCGTGCAGCGCTATCCCAATATTGGCGGACATACCTGGGGAGCCATGTATGCCATCAACAACGGTACCTTGTACGCCAGTGACAACACGAATGGTGAGATCTGGGCATTCCCGATTGAAGGGGGTAGCAGGCCGTACTTGGCTTCGCAGGGGCCAATCTCTGGCCAAAATGATGGGGCTCGCTGTGTCTTGAATTTGGACGTGTGAGATTTCGTAGGCAGTTGACATTCATTCGTCGTATAGGATCGGATAATGAGGTGATGATGGAGACGAGTTGCAAGGAATTTTATTACTGGGCTTCTCATTTCACTTCTCACGGGTTGAAAATAGCCTGGTTAATGTATTTAATGTATAATTTGACAACATATCAAAATGTAAACGGTTTTCGTCAAAAACACTCAGCACCTATATCAGTGCCATACAGATTCAGTGCCTGAATCCTATAACTCATAGCTTTCCTAAGGATTGTATGAGTCAGATGAGACTGAGCTCGGCGCTTGAGTTGTCTTACGCATGCTTAGGGCCATTCATTTCGACGCCCAATTTGTTACATGTACTGAATACGCCGTACACCTTGTACATGCTATTCACCGGTCTCGTTTGTGCACCCAATAGAAACAAAGTATGCGACATTTAAGTCTTCGCTTAAATGAGACATGATTATGACGGACCCCGAATGTTAGGTAGGCTTGTTCAGTTGTATGTAAACCCAATTCCAAGCCCTGCTATCGGCCTTTATTATACGACTGGCGTTCTTTTATGGATACCTTGACCTATGTGGAGGTGGATCCTGTATTCTGTTTTAAAATAGAGTCTCGGCTCGTATCGCATCACTGTTCCTTGTGGCCATGGCGATTATCAATGGATCTCACGTACTCTAAGAGCGGTAGACATTTTGAGACAGTATATTGTTACTGCATTTGGGGTGAGCGTTAAGTACATCTTAATAGACTTGTGTTCATCACACAGCTCATATTCAAAGTACGCATCGGCCTAGGCAATGAGACATGTCTCATAAAGTCCATGGCGCAACAGCGTAAGATCACCTCTGAGATGCCAACAATTTGTCTTTACGGACCCGACTGTACAAAAAATAAAGGACTCTTACGACTGCTACATTAACTTCAGGATGGACATGTTCTACTTTCGTAGGTTTGGCATAAGTTCATCAGTGAGGACGTTGCGATACTGGGGTAAATGTGAAAGCAGTAGACCATAAAAATAGTAGCAGGTGAGCCGAGTTGGGGTCTCGCCTCAATCCTAGAATGTTTCATGGTTAGCGCGCGGCATGTGACTAGCACAATGCCAGGTAATATTTATCATAAGCTACGAGCCACTTCCCACAATCGTTTCTGACTCCAAACGCCACGTTCCTTGATCCTTGTTATCTGATGAAGAGGGCTCGTGACAACGTATTTCAACCCCACGGACACCCCACATTCAACTCACACCCCTCCTGCAAGATAGCCGGATCTTACCATCATGTCAGGGCCAATAGCCCGGCTCCCATGTCGCGTGGCCCGTCACGGATCTAAATATGACTCTCCCGAGGCCGCGGCACACGCTGCAGAATGTGGGGCCGTTGCAACGGGTGACTGAACCTCGAGGCATAGTGACGTGAAACCTCTGGCTAAGTCATGGCACGGTCAACAGCTGTGCCATGTCCGACAAGCCCTCCCGTTCCACCGTTCAAACGATGTAGAGGACATGGCAATGGCCGTGTATAAGCGATTCCCTCGGTCCAGAAAGCGAACTGAGAATATGTTATGAAGTCGCGGTGCTATTTGTGCAGCGTCGCCCGTCGGCATGCCATGGGCTAAGCCATGGCCTATCGTGGAACTATATCTGACACTCTGATCTAAATCGGTGTTGTAGACTCAGACGCAGCGAGATCCTAAGCTTGCGGCATAGAAATGGCCTCAAGTATTTAAATGGAAGACTGGCAATCCATGGACGATCTGATCTGCAGACCATTCCAAGAACAAGATCACTTGATTCGAGAGCACACATACATATACACTTGCAGCCCACTGATCGCCCGTACTTAACGGAGAACGAATAATTAGGTACACTTTACTTAATTTTCTCATAGCTGGCTGCCTCCTCTTCGCATCCAGCCATGGAAGCTACTCCTAACGCGTATTCGCCTCTTCTCACAACGGGATCCAAGCTCCCAGAGGGCTCAAAGAACTCACAGTCACCCGAAGCCGCAACGGGGACGATAACACTCAAGACTCTACAGACAAATCCATCGTTTATGAACCAACCACGGCCCCGGAAGGCCGAAACGTTCCAGTCCTGGGGCGCACCCGCCGGCCTCCCCATCCCAAGCAACAATAACGAGAACCTCCTCATCTTCCGCAAAGCGCTGGGGATCAATCTACAACGCGATGTCGCAGACTCGAACGGGACCCTGGAAGAAGGCCGCAAGAAAGCCATCGGCATCTACCGCAGCGTGATCGAGACGCAGACGCGCATGCTGATACAGCACGCCCTGCTCACGGCGTTTCTGTACCTCGTGTACTTCGCGCAGATCATCATCGGCGCAGCGCTCACGGCCCTCGGCTCCTCGGCCGCCCGCTTCGAAACGACCATTACCATCCTTGGGGCGTTCAATACCGTTCTCGCCGGAGTTCTCGCGTTGATCAAGGGCTCCGGTCAGCCACAGAAGCTCGGCAAGGACCGCGTCGGATATCGCAGGCTTCAGGACTGGATCGAGGAGACGGAGGCGCTACTTGCCGTGGGTGTCATCGGGCGTAATAGAAAGGAAGTCGGACTCCTTGTCGAGAGCGCGTTCAAGCGGTATAATGCCGCGAAGGCGAGCGAAGAGAACAATGACCCAGACTTTTACGTGTACCACCCGCAAGAACCGATTGGTAACCGCCCGAGTGATGATGGAGGTGCTCATTATGGCAATGACCATGAGGCTACTAAATAAGACGGAGTCAGGTAGGAAGAGGCACAGAGGGGGGCATAGATAAAGATAGAAAGCAACGTGTGATCAGTACACTTAGAGATAGCTTGCATGCCCATAGCCTGATTCACATTAATATACATGGTTGATATTAATGCGGAAGCCTTTTCATCTTGGCGGACGACTTTCAATAGCCCGTCCCACCCATTTCCTGACTCACAACCGCCAGTCCAGAGTTCCTAGTAATTGAGGCTGGCTTCGTTTTAGAGCTGATCAAGCTTATATCTTGAAATCTGACATCATAGCTACTACTAGCCATGGACCTTTCCCTTACGCTTCATTGATCATTAATCATTCTTCGCGCACCTCTGCCCCCTCCCATGCAAATATTCCATCCTATCTTTACTCGTGACTCCGGGGATCTCATTATCGCACCAGACGTGGCAACCCGCACCACTCGCAAGCGCGCGCCCAAAGCCCTCCTTTGGCACCGTGGTCCCATCAGCGCCCTCGCCGAACAGGAAAAGCGGATCAATGCATCCGACAGCGATATACATCTCTGTCGGCCCCGGGCTTACGCGGCGCCAATACAAGAAACTGCCGCAAGTGGTGCAGATGCCGCGCTCGGCTGTGGGCGTAGTCTGATAGCGCGACAGCGAGTTGGCGTCCGCGCTGGTCCAGCGGAATGCCGAGTGTAGGACATGGTGCGTGGGCAGGAAAAAAGAGCCCGTGTTCCTGCGGCATTGGGTGCATTGGCAGGTGAAAGACTACGCATACATGCAAAGTTTAGCACTGCTGATAGCGCAGAGAAATATATGACGTCGGCCGAGTTAGAGGGGGCTTACATTCTTGTCGAAGTCATGATTCTCGGGGAAGTCGATTCTGTATCTCAACGACCCGCATAGACAACCGCCAGTGACATACTTAGGCTTAGGAAACTCGTTTGAAGATGCCATTTTCTATATGTTTTGCTTAAGTATGTTTTTCTTTCTACTTGCTTAATCGAGCCTTCTCAGAAAACTCACGAGCTGTTTGAAATTTGACCCATCCTAATATAATATTCAAATCCTCATCTATCAGCATATACCCCATGCCCTTTACGCCCTTCGCCTCAGCCTAGGGCGTTAACAATCATAAAAGAAAGACATACATAGTAAGTAACTAGGGACGGTAATGACGATACCAATTGAGACTACTGTTACCGTTTAGGGATTAGACGACTCATAAGAAGCGAAGCGGTTTGGGGTACATACCTGGGTAGCCAATCGGGTTTGACCGTTGGAGCACCCAGATAACATGTTACATGTTAAGGCACCACGCCGTCTTTCAAGAGAGTGAGGTATGTGGCCTTAAGGTCTTTGACAGTCTTCACCTAAGCAAAGCAGGAATACCGGTAACTCCTCAAAAGCAGCATTACATAGGGGGCTGCTCACGTCATGGGTGCCATCTTGTAGGTATTAGCGGATTACATGTTGGCAGAATCATTACTGCTTATAATAATGCCACTTCAGTAAAACAGTCAAGCTTTATACCGACACGGCTCTTTTTGTTTAAATCTTAATTCATCGTGTCTCTCAATTATCAGGGTATATAATGATATTACATTTGATGTTTTGGGTGCCAATGTTCATGCCCAGGCAGTCTGTTTATTTTTGGTCTGCCACGCATCATCATCTTCCAGTAAGTGCAATGGCCTGCACCGCCATTGACGAGTCCTTCATCCTTCCTCTCCCGACCAGACCCCTACCGCCCCGGTAACCCAGGTACACCGACATATCTCTCCTCACGCTCAGTCAAGAACATGACCTGGACCCAGAACTCCTTTAAGTCAGCGTCCCACCAGGTCCAGTAGCGGTCGCCTGTGCGATCTATCTCCCTCGCCTGCAGCTTGAAGCCGCACGTCTCGTAGGGCTCGGCAGCGACGAGCATGTACTGGTAGTTCTTGTCGGGGGGGTCGTCGACGTGCTGTTCGAAGGCGCTCATGAAGCGTACCTTGGGGACGATATTCTGACCGATCTCGGGGTACTGCAGCTGGAAGAGCAGGCCCTGTTGGCGCGTAACCTGATCGCGGATCTTGGTGATCCTGTAGCCGGGGCGGCCGATCTTGACCGTGTTCTTGCGTACAAGGCCGGCGCCGAAGCCGGCGCCCACAACGCCGACGGGCAGACCGGTGTTGGGGTCGATCTGTCCCTTGCCCTCCTTCTGTTCGCGGGCGGCGCGCCGTGCCAGATTGGTCTGGTGCTTCTTGCCCTGGGTGTGGGCGAGGTAGGAGCCGTCATTCTGGTGGACCGTCAGACACAACTTGCACTCGAAGCTGCCGACGTGGTTCTTGAAAAAGTAGGGGTCTTTGTCGAGATCGATGGTCTCGAGGGCAAGCTTGCGCAAGCGCTCGCGACGGTCGGCATTCGTGGCACTATGCGATGCGACGCCACCACCGCCGAACTTTGAGCCAGCGCGATTCTGGAAATCCATGGCGTTCGCAGTGCTGGTCTTCTCGTGTCTGTTTAGATTCTTTACTCTTCCCTTAGTCGTATATTCCCTCGACGCGTCGTTCGTCGGCAAAAGATGGATAAAGGATTGGCGGAAAACTCTTGCGGAGAACTTGTAGTATACAATATACCGATATATCAACAGAGACGTGGGTATCGCAGGGTCGAGAGAATGCGGTGAAAGGAAGATGAAGAAAATTGTTGATTGGGGTTGAGCTCGCGAGCGTTGGCCGTACTAGGTAGGTATTTGCCTAGGTAAGAACTTGCCTACCTACCTACCTACATAGGTACCTAAGGTACCTACACGCCTACTGCTCTGGAGAAAGGCGGGGCGCTTCATTAGAGGTACCTACGTAAAGGTGCCCAGGTACTTGAAGTATGTAAGCATAGGTAGGTATTTACACCCATAACATGCCTTTCAACTAAGTTATGCCTTTATGCTTTATATAAATCCTCTATATAATTATTTAATGCTACATTAGATGTCCAAGTACCGAGCCGTATAGTGTGGATAAGTTGGTCTCCTTATTTACATGTGATAATGACTGTGAGAGCGTAGCTGAATAGGCATTCATCTGGCTCACTTTCTACAGGCCAACAAAAAAAAGAGGTTTCAATATACCACGCACTATCTATAAGGCCGATGTGAGCTCACAATATGCTAAATGGCTATCTATATCTGAAGTTCTAGGTATATATACCCATCCCTCTTGCTGTATCTCTGTATATATGCGTCCAAGGCTTATCATATTTTCCTTCTCCAGTCATAGGTATGCCGTCAATTCGGCACTTGGCATTGAAATGTTTTCTCTCTGAAGGGCGTCTCACACTCGACTACCCTCTCACCTCAAAATATTCGCCGCCTGACACATAATGTAATTAAGACATCGGTAAAGGGAGCGGCACGGGGTAGGTATGGGGCTGTACCATAAGGCTGACATGCTAAAAGCCAAGTTAACATCACATGCAGTCGAATGTACGTCTACCAAATGCTAAAGGCACAACCGTGGCCACGAAACGCTACCACGAATGAGGGTTGCCCGCACCTACTAACCCGCCGCACCCGATTCTCTCCACCCGCTTACTCTGAAACCCGAGCTTGTCTCTTGTCTGGATAATGTGCATGCACATCTACTGCTCAGCTAAAGCTATCGAACCGCTTAAACGTGTACCCGATAAAGGGCAGACTCATTTCCGGCGTCTCCGCAATCTGCTTAGCCGACGCCTGCGCCTGCTCAATTAATGTCTTGTTCTCGATTTGCTCAATCTCCCCTATCGGGAAATACCGGACATCGACGGCCGAGTCCAACTTCGGTTCGAACGGTGCGTGGACTTGGCGCAATGTGTCAAAGTTGACGCCCCGGAAGAAGACGTGGTTCTTGAGTTCATGGGCTCCACCGCGCCCAAGCCGATTCTCGGTATTGCAAACGAGGCTAAGCATACACTTGGTTAGCTGGTGTGGTTCGGGGCCAAGGAGTGCAACTTGCCTTCTGATGAAGTGCTCTGCCTCGACGCTTAGTGGATCGAGATCCGGAGGGAAATAGAGCGTCTGTCTCCAGTTCACAATTTTCCGGTACGTGTCGTGACTGTCTTCAGCACAGAAAGGCGGCCAGCCCACCAGACATTCGTACATGATGGTTCCTAGCGACCACCAATCGCAGTCGAACGAGTATCCGTGACCTGTAAAGATCTCGGGGGCGATGTAGTCCGGTGTCCCTACCGTCGAATACGCCTTCATTCGTCGTGAGCGTCTCCAATCATTTATATCCTTGCGGTTGCTGACTGTCAAGTTTATTTGGTCGAAGGCGATCGAATTGCGATCTCTTGGCTGGTTTGATTTCTGCCCTAACATATTTTGATAATACGTATTATCATGCTTTTTCTGGAAGCCCGTGGACAAACCGAAGTCTGTTAACTTGATATGCCCATATCTATCCAGAAGGATGTTATCGGGCTTGATGTCCCTGAGCAGGTGGTCAGTCCAGGCAGAATACTGGTGGGATGTTAGTGGGATAGATTTCTAGACGTACCGGTGGACAAAGTTTAGCTTATGGACGTATTCAATCGCTAAAATGATCTCTGCCATATAAAATCGAGTGATGTCTTCGTTAAAGACCTCATACTTTATCAGCATGGTCATTAAATCACCGCCAGGCAGAAACTCCATCAGCATGTAGAGGAAATTGGCGTCCTGGAACGACGTAAATAGCTTGACGACCCAGGGACTGTCCGACTCGGCCAAGATATCTCGCTCCGCCCGGACGTGGGCGAGCTGCTCCTTCTTGAACATTTCCGTCTTGATAAGGGATTTCATGGCAAACACTTGGCCATCGAATTTCTTCTGAACTAGCTTGACCTCGCCGAAAGCACCTTTTCCAATGATCTTGATGGTCTCATAATTCTCTGGCTTGTCTTTGGTTCGCAAGAAGCGCAGATATTTCCCCTCCTTCTTGCCGGCACTCTGCCAGAGCTGTGCCCTCCTGGCTGGTGATTGGTTAGGCTCCTGAAGTCTTCGCTCCAGCTCGAGCTGTCTGTAATGCATACTGGTTAGTAGAAGCCATTTATCGGAGAGGGCGGTCCACACGGAGCCAATGGTCACCTTATATTGCGCTCACGGGCTAGTTTGACACTATCCGTGAAAAATGCGACTGCTTGTGCGTCACTTTTTACTCCTTTGCTATTAGTATTTTGACTATATTGCTTTGAATTTCTCACGGGAGCTTTTTGGAACGCAGTCTGTCGCGTGGGCATGGGGTCGGCAGGATAGCCGTAACTAGGTTTCTGCCCGGCAAAACCGGCAGTCCGAGGACGCGGCTGAGTGGGTGAGCTTGAGCGGGCATCGTAGGCATTCGCCCTCGCAGCGCCTCCCAGGTTCTGGTGAGAGAGCTGGTGAGCGAGGCCAATATTGGGGTCGTTCGTGCCAGGCCGGGGTTGATACCCACCAGGCTGGGGGGAGTAATCAACGACTCCATGAGAGGTGTACTGAGGCTGGTACTGGCTCTGAGCGAAGTAGCCGTTGCCTGGCGCATAGCCACCAGTATACTGCTGCGTTGGCTGGGCTGACGGGGCACCAAGCTGCTGCTGCTGCTGTTGCTGCTGCTGCTGGTGCATGGGATCGGGAAAGACAGGCTGCGGGAACGTTGAGGGCGTGGTAGGATATGTACGGTCAGAGGGAACAAGCCGCTCGTTGTTGTTGCCGAAATTTAGGTGTAGACGATTGGAATCCATGTTTGAATACTGAAGTCAGGCTGATGTGTCCAATTTGACAATAGCACACGCTACACGTCTCTAACCGTTGTAGAAGGGGATTCACAATGATTATCAACTACCTGAATGCTCCCAAGTCTGGCCGCAAAGATGGACACAGGAGCCGACGTACAAAGGCAAGCCGTGAGAAATGAGGTTCTTCGATGGTGGGGTCGGCCAAGAGATATTGGTCAGGATAGCGGTCACCAGTTGTGTACACTCTTCACGACACTTGAGGATCGAGATTGGGGCTTAGCCCAACCGATTGACTCGGCTGGCTGTCTCGAATACGAATCTGGCGCGCAAGAGTGTCAATAAAGCACTTGTCAATACTAAATAGTGTATGATGGGTGCACCAATAAGCCTAGGCGCGGGGAATAGGAGGGTAATGATAGTACGTGATAGGATGTCTCAAGGAGTCGAGGGCTGGGACGAAATCAGAGATGCATGCGGGCACCCATGTGTACTCAAGACAAGAAAATTACACAGATGGATCTCTCATTAGACTCACATCTCTAGCAGACGCACACCAGCAACAAGACGGGGAGGCACTTGGAGAGCGTCGTCGTCGTTGTCGTTTGTCGTTTGTCGTCGCAGCACACAAGGTCGAGAGGAGGCAGACGACGACAATGGCGACGGTGGCAATGATAACGACGAGGGCGAGGAGTGTCACGCTTTGTAATGCAAGGTAGGTAAAGATGGCGAGGGTGAAAACTGACAGCAATCAACACGAGAAGGTGAATTGGGTGGACAATTGGGCGGACGATCGAAACATGGAATCGCTAGAAAGCTGGAACGGACTGTGCCGTCTTTGGCTTGGGGTGGGGATTTCAGGTTGACCCCTGAAGCAAAAGGAGGGCCGAGGGGAAGGGGGAAGGGGGTAGGCGTGCTGTGGAGGGGTCTCCGGCTACCTAAGTAGGTACACCCTACATACACCCTACATACCTAAGCAAATACCTAGCGCAGCACTTCGGCGACCTAGGTAGTCCACCCCATTAGTTACCTACCATAGAGGTAGGTACCTAGGTACTGTTTCCATGATACATATACATAGCCGCCAGCATATCCCCAAAAACATACAGAACGTAGGTTGATGTACTAGTAGCTAGGTAGCAATTCCTGTAGGAGAGTTATGGAGGCATGTCTGCATATACACCTATGTAGGTAGGTAGCTCTGGTACCTACATAGGTATTCGCATGACCACAGCATTGTGCCAAGTTGAGGGCACCCCTACTACCTAACCTTGGCGAGATATCGATACTCGGGCCAATCACGGGTAAGTTGCAACTACCTACTAGTACTGTAGGTACTGGTAGGTTACTTGTAGTAAAGATATTGTCCGTGTATGGATAATACCTAGGTATTTCAGAAAGCGATGATGCTGCAAGGGAAGAAGAGCTAGAAACTGAATGATTCAAAGGTAAAGAAAACCCATCGTGGTTTTAGCATGCCTACCTACATACTTACCTCCCTACACGCTTTCTTCGAAGACTCTGCGTCACCTCGCTTAAATAACCATAAAACTCTACAGTATGTTTCTCCATCCTGCCTGTGCAGCTACCAACACAAACATGAAGGAACACACATCCATCACTTATCATCACTTATCATTATGTGTCTAGGACCCGTCTCGGACCCAGGCATGGGCTACCTACCTAGGTAGAATGTTAAAGGAAGATCTTGAGTGACACGTCCAGTAGGCACACCCGCAGGGCCATACCACAACCGACATCCCTTGGTCTAGCAGAGTCTGGCTGGAGTACAGATGCCAGTGCACATTCTATCTACTATTTGCATTCCTATCACCAAGTCTGATCAAGATTGCTACGGATCGCAATCTAATAGCAAACAAGGTGAGTGTTGATGATTAGGTAATTCGAAGAGTGGACCTCCCATGAGCACTATTAGGTATTGTTGGGTACCTGGTACCTATCTCGCCTGCCCCTATGGACTAGGTATGTACCTAGGTAGATAGATTAGGTAGGTAAGTACTGTAAGTGCTTAGGTAACACCTAATCGATAGCAGATAACGAGGATGGACCCCAGAGCCTTGGAAATTTCCAACCTACCCGCCAGTATCGACGAGATAGCGAGGATACCTAGGCCTCTCCAAGGCACGCTGCGGCACGACATAGCCCACCCCATTGCGAAGTGACGGCAAGGAGTGCACCTGGGTCCGGACCGGTCCATTCACGACTGCAACATGGCTGACCCAAAGCCCTCTCCAGCGACCGGAGCAGCGACTGGAACACCCTACAAGGCACCGACGCCGAACCCGGCCCTGCGGATGATGGGCCTCCCGAACCTGCCCAGGAAGCTACCGTCGCGCAACTGGCTCATCTTCTGGACCCTTTCCCTGTCTTTCTCAGCAGCCATCATCTACGACAAGCGGGAAAAGAAGCGGGCAACAGCGCGGTGGGCAAGGGCCGTATCGCATATCGCCAAGGAGCCCATGGCCACGTCCAGCGAGATGCCCCGCAAGCTGACCATCTTCCTCGAGAGCCCTCCTACCGACGGGTTGCGCGTTGCCCAAGACCACTTCACCGAGTACGTCAAGCCCGTCCTAGCCGCCTCGGGCCTGGACTGGGAATTTGTGCAGGGACGCAGTGAAGGAGATGTGCGCGCTGCTGTAGCCGAGCGTATACGTCGCTCCCGAGACCCCGAAGCCGCCGCTACCGCTGGTGTCCAGACACAAGACGAGGTCGTGAACCAGGTAAGGAGGAGGAATGGCATACCCGAGTACACCGGCATGAGAGGTGATATTGTTATCGGACGACACACCTGGAAAGAATACGTACGAGGCTTACATGAAGGTTGGCTGGGACCATTAACCGCCCCTGTCCCAGCCATCCCCGATCCCCTCCCGGTCCATTCTACAACAACGGAGGCGACGAAAGAAGAAGTAGGAGGCGAAGAGAAGGAGAAGCACGAAGAAACCAGGCCAGAGGAAGCAAAGAAACCCGAACGGCCACCACAACCGCCGCCTTATAACACGCCAGCCAACTACCCCAGCTCCCCCACCCCCCTGCTCATACCCGCCGAGCTCTCCCCATCTGCCCCAGTGCAGTTCCCTCACATTCTCGGCTTCTCCAACACATTTACTCGGTTAGGACGCTTCCTGAACCGCCGATATTTGGCCGACGATATTGGTCGCGAAGTCGCCGCCGTCTGTCTCGCCACGGCGCGAGAATTCCGGGAAAAGACCACTCCCGGTACTGCCGATTCCGAGCCCGAGCAGGTAACAGCACTAGCTTGGGAAGAGAAAGATTGGCCCAAGTCAGTTTGGAAGGAGACCGAGGAAGTAGCCGCGAACGAAAAGGAGAATCCTTCCACCCCACCCGCCGAGAAGATCTGGACAAACTCTATCATTCTAGACCCACGCATCAGTATGCGTATGCGTCGTTTTGAGCTTCGCCCCGAAGACGAGGCCCGTGCCCGTGCCATTGTCGTGCCCGAAGAGGAGGTTGAGGGCTTTATCAAAGGTAGCTTACGGAGTCTGTGGCGCTGGGCTATAGCTCCCAACTCGCGGCCACAGCCCGTTGTCACCGAAGAGTGAACATTGGTAGGGACAAGTAATACTAGGTATGTTCCAATCCGATGAGAGCCACAACCTAGCCAACGTCCAACATAACCTCTCGAAATACGTTTCACTCTTGTATTATTACGAATGTACTTCCGTATGACAAGATACCAGATTTATAAAAAAGGCTAGAGGAGGCACGTTCGCGTCTATATATGTATTTATGCGTGTACATCAGTTAGAAGGGGTATCGGTGTCTGTAAATTATCTCCAACGGATATACCATTGTACATACTTATGCCCATATCCTATCTCAAGAGGGTTTTGAGGCGAACAAATCTCCAAGATAACGTATAACAACACTCCGCGGCTGTGCAGAGTTCGAGGAAAAGAAGATTTACATGCATTTGTGTGCAACCTTGATGTGACCGGGTGCAATGAGATTCACCCGGATGCCCCATTTCCGCACACTGATTGCCATGCTGTGCATGAGCCCCAGAAGGCCCGACTTCGTCGAAGCAAAGCCCACTTGGTTTGGGTCACTCTGTTGTGCCCGGAAGGTCCCGATGGGAGGATGCACGGACCGGCATTGTCGTCGTTGATGTGTGACGCACTTTTGCCCTCTTCTAGCTTCATATAGGGCAAACACGCCTGTGAGACGGCGAATGGTACTGTTAAGTTGGTCTCCAAGTAGCTACATGTAGGTTAGCCAACGGTCCACGAGCCGTGCAAGCAACCGCCGTCTGTCATCTCAGTCCTTTGATGCTATGGCTTGGGCAGGTGATTGACATACGCCTGCCACTGTGACATCGTGTCGAAATCATCCATTGATCTGTTATCACTCCATCTAGGCGATGCGATACCACCATTATTTATAAGAACCGAGATGCGGCTGTTTTGACATGGCGACGGATATCTTCGACATCGCGTAGATTGCAGATAGATGACTGGAGCACACCCTTGCCGAAATATTTCTTCAAATTGTATCCCAGTTGTGTGCGTCAGCTCATTTTCGTCAATAATATCAAAGATATAGACAAGACAGCGCCCAATCCCACGGGCACCACCACTAATGAGCGTGGTCTTCACTGACATGATAAGTTGTATGATTACTAAAATTTGCTCATCCATGGTAGAACAGAGTTGCCTGAATGATAAAGGAATGAAGATGGATGCGGTAGACGATGCTGCGATAAGGCCAAATCCATGACAGCCACTACTGGCATCGCAATGCGTCAACAAATACCGGAGTGCTGTTTTAATCACATCCAAAGGCAAGCTATTCTGATTCGTATTATGCCTATCTTATATTTATGAACAGCAATGTGCTGACTAGCTTCAGCATAGCCAAAATAAGCTCCATACAAATGAGATTCTGATGGATGATCACAAACACCAATAGTAACCCAAGAACCAGTCCACAAGGAGGCCAGATGTTCCTCAGGACTTCCCGGAAGCGCGAACTCTCGAACATTCACAAACGGCGCCGTTAGACGTTCGAAGTCTAACAGTTATTATATAGCCGCACCTACGTTCAACACGAACTTTGCATGAGCTCGGCTATGACACCATCGCCCCTGAAGCATTTCACTTCGGTTCGATCCGAAACTACTCGCAAAGACCCTTTATAAAGTCTACATCCATATATTTCTAGACTAAGACTGGGCATACCGATTATCCAATCTTAACCTGGATACTATTCGAAAGTCCGCCCTTGTATAGTATCAACAGTCTAGTTTTGTGTCGTTCCTCCGGTTGGTTCAAACCCGAGTCACATGTAATTGGGATGTAGTAATGGAAAGCAAAAAGATACTACTGATGAGATAATCAGTTTGTATGGTCATATCAAATCAAGTCCTGTCTCTCCGTATAACAAACATGAGATCCTGCCGCCATGTCAGTAATATGATTCGAGATCTATGTACAGCTTCAGAAAGAGCTCGCGAATACCTCTAGTCGCTGCTGTACCTGATCCCCCGGCGCATGCGTCTAACGAAATCTTGACAAGCTGATTCTATCGATTCTGAAGTGTAACGATGTTCTTCATCGGGTTAGCGAAAGTAATGGGAGGGTAGCTAAGCAGCACCGTAGGCATTTTGATCCGATCATGCGCCCAATTTAGTACGACGTACCTGCTCGACCGAATTCTTTGCAATATACTTGTAGATCTTCACGGGGCGGCCTTGTCCCATTCTAACCGCTCGGCCGATAACCTGTTCTTCAACGAACGGGTTCCACTGCGGTTAGACTATGTGTACTTGATCGGCGACTATTAGGGTCAGCCTACAACAACCAAACTAGTCAGTCCCGTAACAACAAAAAAAAAACTCAAAATAAACCGTTATTATTCAGATATGACCTACGGCACCAGTGGCAATAGACAAGTGGAGGACATTCTGGGCTGTGTCCTGGCGGAGTTGTGTGAGGATCGACTGCCGATCTGTGAACGACGTCTGTCATCCATTCGTAAACAGTTGATACCTCTCTGAGTCAACAAGTACTGCAGAATATCAAGCGTGTCTCGCCACGATATGAATACGAGGCCATTGTTGTTTGAGCGAAACCAAACTAGTAGCCTAATGTGGGATCATATAGTTATGCGTACCCCTATTCTAACAACTATGTACCACACCCTTACAACGTTAAATACCATCAATCAATCAACCCATCAAGCAAGCTGGGGTAGTGATCACACCTTACTTGAATTTGGCAAAAGTTCCTTTGTCCTGCACTCGTAGCATTGGTCCGGAGCTTTATAAGATTTGGGTCGCTTACGCCATTTGCTGTCTCAACTACTGATGCTTGTAGAAGCGATAGAAACACGTTTCATCAGTTACTGACATCGATTTTCCACTGGTGTTCGAGGAGAGGACCTTATACAAATTTTGACAAAATTCGTGAAGAGGTCAGAGACGGCGGCCGATATTTCGCAACAATCACTTGAACATTCATAAGAGAGAAGCTGAGGTATCTTCTCGTACGTATATATACATCCCTAATGATCAATCCAGAGTCCCTATAATTGTCCTGAAGTGCTAAGAAATAGTTGGTCTTATAACTTTAATTATTATAATTAAAAAAGTAAGCTTAAATGTGTATTAAAAAGTAATTAAAGTGATTTTATATATAAATACTATTTAATATAAAAATGTTATATTTAACTAACGTTACATTAAAAATTATAGTTCTAGTTCCAGATCCTATTGTAGCGATGTATTTAAAGATAAACGAGAATGAGTATTCGGTGAGATTTAAATGATTATAAACACGGCAGGAAAACTGAGCTTGTTTCTGTCCACAGCATTTTGTATCATTTTACACACGTTAAACACTTATGCGTTAGGTTAAGGTGTAGGCCGGTTGAAGGCACGCTTAGGTGAACACTTCAGCCGTACACCTTTGGTTATAAGCCCTTGTGAAACTGAAGCTCCTCAGCCCTCGCTGATTGGTAACACCTGGGTAGGGATCGGAGGTTAGGAACTGCGAGGGCACTTGTATACATCCAATTAAACACTTATCACATGCGCTAAACACTTGTACACTCTTCCGAATATACATGTCTCAATAGCGTTGAAATTAAGGCTAGTCAGCCCTCGCTTACTGGGGATGGTTGGTCTAATCCCAGTAGTTAGGCGCATTCGAGCAATTGTATTCAGTTAAGTCAAGTCAGCCTGCAAGCCTAAAGAGATCCAATTGGATCTTTAAGGACTGAGGGAACCCTAAAATATTCTTAATGAATTGGAGTTATCTTCTAAGCGGTGAAACTTAGCTCTTATTATAACATTATAGTAAAGGAGCCCAAGTAATACGCTCGGGCTGAGTGCCTAGATGATCGAAATTTTCTGTATCACCGAGCCATGAAGTTTACTAGTTCATCATAGCCCTTCTCTAAAAGTTCATCCCATGACCTGGGGTCATGTGGGACCAGGCTCTGGCGTTGCTTGTGAGCTGCTTTAAACGATTGCTCAGCTTCTTTCCCCAGCCCTCGTGCTAGGTATAGCTGACCCTGCCTAAAGAGAGTCCGAGTATGCTCATGTCTATGATATGAACGCCGAGCGAAAATTCTGAGGGCTCGATCCAGATAGTCCCTAGTGAACAGGTCGTCAGTAGTGGTTGGCGGAGAAGGGGGAAATCTGCAAAGAGTTTCACATGGATCGAATAAATCATTTCCTTAAATAAATTAGTACAAACACTTTACGTGGCATTTACATGAACATCTACTTATATTGGTTGCTGATGCAGCATTCCCAATACGTGACTATCCACGTGTATGGTGCGTTAAGCATTCGCATTAAATTTCATTAATTAGTTTGTCCGATCGACGCAAAACCTTAAAAGACAGCTTGAAACTTACCGCGCCTTCTCGAATTGTCCTTGACCCATTAAGTCTTGTGCGATTTTATGACTGACATCACCAATTCGGTGGTGCGTCCCGTCTAGAGTGATCGACCACTGATTGTAACATCGCAAATGGAACTCTAGGGCGCGCTGTAAGTCACCCTGAGACAAGTAGACGTTGCCGATACCGTACAACACCTTGCCTGTTCTACTCATAGATTAGCTTGGCTTGATATATCATAAGATATTAAGGCTCACTTGAACGATTTTGTGTCATTAGGCCCATACGCAGCCTCGAATATTTCACGCATCCGATGCAGCGCTTCTAGTGCTTCTTTATGGTTTCCTTGGATCCAATGCACTAACCCAATGTTCGGTAACGGCCATCCAAGCCATTTCTCGTCATAATCCGGGAGGGATTGGTACGTCGACACACTCCGCTTGAAAAAGTCGAGGGCTAGTGGATACATGTTGTTCATGGCATACGCCACGCCCACTTCATTGAAGACGCACCCTAGTTCATAGTCGATCACTTCTTTACCTTCTGCTGTGACTCGTTCACGCATCAAATTGAGCCACATGAGATTATGATGCAGGCTCTCCTGTGGGTTATTAGTTTCGTTAGCTGCTGAGCCCTGGTTGTTGTGGCTTTCACGAAGCATTTCCGTGACATGATCGCTAGGCTTCGTATACTTGAGCGTTTCACAAATGCTCTGAGCAAGTTGGCAGAATGGTTTGGACTCCTGTGGGAACCCTTCGTATGAGAACTGTGAAGAGTACCCGGCGCTCGCCGATGGTGTGTTTGTACGTGCCTTTAGATCTTGCTTGGTATCGGTTCCAGAGTTAATATGAGATATCGATAAAGATCGGCTCTGGTCAGACCCTGGGGGTGTCTCTAAGTCTGAAATGCCTTTGTTTGATGAGTATGCAGATGTTTTCAACATTCTACTCCTGTGGCTTCTCAAACTCTGTATATCCCACTCATCTAGGATACTCCCATCGGCGAGCTCGGAACGTACTGTGAGGGGAGAAAGGGGTTAAAAAACATCGGAACAAATAGATAACTGCAAGTAACTAACCAGTTACGTCTTGGGCGCTTGTCGATAGTTCGTATTGGGCTACTGCGGCCTCGATCATCGAGGCTATCGTATTATACAACTTGCACCCTATTTCTACTTTGCAAAGGTGCTCGTGGGTGCTCGCGACACCATAGGCGAAGGAATTGGGGTTTGATGATATCGTAGCTAACTCTTTTGGTACCACCTGTTTTTTTTATTAGTAGTGAAGGTGATAAGTTGTGAGGAGCCTTACTAGACGAGACCGTGAGAACTGGGCCTTCAGTTTTATGCCCCTATACTTGCTTTCTATAGTTTCGAATGCCGAGATGACAGGGCCTTTGAAGTCGCAGAAACTTCGTGATAATCGCTCAATCGCACGATTGTCTTCTTGCGTGAAAGACAAGAACGAGAAAGGGGCCGCACTTGCTCTCACTATGCTTTCGACAATATTGAGATCGATTCGACTTGCATCCTCAATGTATGGAGTTCCAAGGAAGACCACTCCAGAAACATAATCTAAAACATTGATGTACTCGTGCCTTTTTTCCGCCATGTTCGCATAAGCTTTAGGGTGGTTAGTCGACTTAGAGAATTCACTTTCCGCATAACATACCTGTTTCCATATACACCCACCAAGACTTTGGCACACTACGAAGATAGGCCTGCAGCGTGCCTTCTTCTGGTTAATAACCAATCGTAGTCCTGGATTAATGGTACATACATCTCGTGGGTTGAGGTGACCAAGCACGGAGGGAAGCACATGACTTTGTTGTAAGAGCGATTGCAGAATTGGCTGCCCCTTTACCAGTTCATAGTCATAATGCCAAACGCGTACAATTTCTCCGTACGGCTTTTGCACGTTTTTGAGCCATTCTCCTGTACGCCCTTTCCAGTCCGTGGGCCGAGGAAGGCCAACTCCCGGAACTATTACAATGCTGCGATAAAGTAGGTAGTCAGCTAAGCGGCAGCGGGTAATTATAGGGCTCTGGAAAAGCACGCACTTCAGCGCAAAATCCCCATTAGAGGATACGGCTGGGGGGTAGAGGAGATTCAACGACATGGCTTGGTTAGATTACTAGCAATGAGTTTCTCTGAACCAGTTGAACTGTACGCCACCAAGCTCTTAAGATGGCGAATGGTAGAGAAAGAAGAACTGAGCGCTGCATCACAGCTCATGGAAGAGCAAAGGACAAACCCACCACATCGCCTCGTGCTGCTACGACCAAGTTGAAAACTGTTGCCATACATCGACAGGGGTTCCTGATGAGTTCCGGCCGGTCACAGCCGGACCAATCAAATCTACAGATTATCAATGGATAGAAGTGGCGCGACGCTGCTAGTGTTGGAACATGCAAATAGAGTCATGGTTTGCAGCCAACTTACGAATCGAGACGATGCTTGAACAGGGCAATCAATGTCGTATCGAAATACCGCACCCAAAAGCAACAATCTGACCACCTCTTTTACTGATCCTATAAAAACCAAGGCGAGCAGAATGCCACTCGGTTGGAAACAATTTATGGTCAGAGGAACACTGCCACACCTACGTGCATCCTCAGAACTCGCTATCAGCGACTTTTATAAAAGTCCAGTGCGTAAAAGCGGCTTGCATACTTACTTAGTAGTAGTACTCTGCTCTATATATACCCGGGTGTGCAATGTGAATACACGATACTTTGGGCACTGCATAGTATGCAGTGCATACTCCTTGCTGAATGTTGGTAGGTGTCACACGGCCAAGACTTCAGAACCGAAGATAACCGATACGACCCATAGAGGAAAGTGAGGCTATAAGCGATTAGATAAGGACAATCTATTAGCTGCAAGAAGACCAACAGTTAAAGCATGAATGCCCAACAGTTAAAAGGGAGTCACAAATTGTATAAGGCCTAAATGAGTATAAATAGCTAAGGAATCTCCCACTCCAAGACAGAAGAAGGAGAGAGAGATCAAAGCCCTAGAAACCCCTAGTAGATTATTAATAAATATAACTAAGTTCTAAGCCCTCTTTATAAAAGCCCTTATTACAAATAATCTACTATCCCCCTTTAGGATATTCCAATATAGCCCAAACCTCTATATAATAGACAAGCTTTGGTAAAATCCCCCTATATATATATAATGCTATCTTAAACCCAAATCCCTATAAATATAAGATTACTCTAGTAAAATACTTCTCCTACCTTTACTAAACAAAAGGTATTTTAGGAAAGTTTATACCTTATATCCAACAATTTAAATATTATATGCTATAATCCTAATACTCCTATCCAAAAAGCAGGAAGTAGCTAATAACCTTATCGACTTAAGGCCCTAAACTTCTTTAAAATCGCGGATGTACCCTAACTATAGGATTTTAACTTTAATTCCTACTATCCTAATAAGGATAGCTTAAATTTTAACTCCTTAAAATCTCCCTTATTATATAAAAATTATCCTAAAAATAAATAATAGCTAAGCTACCTACCTTAGCTACTTTATTAAACCTAAAAGCCTAAAACTAAGGACATCCTGCCCCTTAACAACTTATAGGCTAAATTAAAGCATATAAAGGCATTAAGTAAACATTCCACTAACCCTAACTAAAGTTTAGCCTTTACCCCTAAATAAGCTATATCTCTTCTATTATTACCTATTATACCTAAACCTACCTATTTTAATTAAATTATATCCCTTTTTTCTAAAGGATTATTTCTTTTAAAAGACCTATTTAAATCCATTAATTAATTAGCTTTATAACGAAATCCTTCCATTATAGCCCCCAAATTAATATCTAAAGCTATAAAACTTACCTTTTATAACCTAACTATTTATAAAAATATTAAGGATATAAAAATAAAATATATAAATATAATAATCTAAAACCCCTTATAATAAGTTATAAATATTTATAATTATATAGGTAAAACCTTTTAAGCAGCTTAATCCCTATAAAAATATAAGCAAAAAATACCCCTTAAATAAAAGGAAGCATTTTAAAACGTATATATTACTATTTATAATATATATAATACCCTAATTAGCTTATATAAAATAAATATATAAATAATTTAAAAATAAATAAAACGTTTTTAATAAAAAATTATATAAGGAAATATTACTTTTTTTTAAAACATATAAAGAATTATTATATATATCGTATAAAATGCTTAATCCTAAATTAATATTATTAATTAATTTGAAGAGGTAGCAGATTACTATTATTAAGCCCTTTAAACTTTTTAAAGTAAACTTATTAAATAAAAAGCTAACCATTAAAAGACCTAAAAAGTTATAAATAATTAAACTACTATAATTAAGGAATAAATTAATTAATTTATAAACTACCCTATTATAAACCTTAATTAAATTAATAAGCTATAAGTTTATACTTAAATAATAATTTAAAAGATTTAAAAATAATTGAATAAATAAATTATACCTAATATAAATTAAATCATTAATAAGCTAAAAAAGTATAGCATTATAACCAACTTTACTAACTATCCTACTATAAAGTATTTATTATTAAAAGCTATTTTACAATAATAAATTAATAATAAAGCATTATAAGCAATAAAGGCCCAATTAATTACCCGGGCCTTTCAAGCTTAATATATAATAACAAAAATCTTTCCAGGAATCCTTACTAGAATTACCCCGCTACCCGGAAGTAACCCAGGAGGAAACCCTAATAGCTTTAACGATAACGACAACCCCTTCGAAGGATAACCCCCCCGTAATCTGCTTAAAGGACCACCTTAAAGGCCACCTCAAAATTCCAATAAAGAACCTAAAGGAAACTTAAATAATAATAATCCCCTTAACCCTCCTACTAATAAACTAATACATACCTTCTTAACTATACTTAAAAGTATTAATCCTATAACCACAATATTTAATCCTATTTAACTTAATAAGCCCTATACCTATAATAAAAAGAACACCTTTAAATTCTTTCCATAATAAATTAAGGTTAAGGATTATATATTTATATATATAAAAAGTTTTCCTTTTAATAAGCATTATATTAATTAAATCAATTCCCTTATAATAAATAAAGCCTTATAATAATATTAATTTTATTAAAAGCAAATCTATTATATTAATATTATTAATATTTAAATAGCTTATTAAATAGCTTATTAAATAGCTTTAAAAGCATAGTTCAAGGATCTATCAATAACGTACCAAAATACCGATGCTTTTATAAAAGTAAAATATTCCGGTAATATTACCTAATTTTTTACTAAAATCCTTAACTATAATAATTTAATAAAATAGTTTAGCTTAATATTTTAAACCTTTATTATTAAACGTTTATTATTTAAACTTATAAAGATAGTTTATTATAATTAAAGCTATATTTTTAAAAATAATAATAAGTTTTTTAATATAATTTAAAAAGTTAATATTATTTATAAAAATATATTAACGTATCTTAAGCTATTTTTAAAAGGCGTACTTAATTTAATAAAGGAGCAATTAAAATTAGGCTATTAAAATTAAAGTAAAGAAAATTGCTCCAATTTAAGCTTAAACTAATCTTTAAAAAAGAATAAAAAAAGGAAACCTATTAATAAAAAGCTAAATAAGCTTAAAATTAATCTTAAAAATAATTGCTAACCTAATATTATAGCTATATTAAAGGGAATTAATTAAGCTACCATTAATAAACAAAAGTAAAATAAGATTAACTGTTAACGGTACAGTAGGAATAACCACTATACCCTTACCTACTACGCTAAAAAGGATATCAACGGAAAGAAGCTTCCTCTAACCCTTAAAAAAACCTCTTTTATTAAAAAAAGGCTTAATAATAATATAGAACTACTATTTATAGCTAAACAAATTAAAATTAATACTATTACTATAAAGGTAATTAATCCTATATAATATATAAAAATAAAAGAATTAAATTTGGATTTTTAATTAGGCCCTATAAAGTATTATATAGGAATTTAAGCCTTTAAAAAGGTAACTTCTTTTATATTAATATAATTAAACGAATAGGAAATAAGCTTTTTAAATTAGCTTAAAAGAAGGCTAATTTAAAACCTAAAATGGGTTATAGGCCTATTATTCCTATAACCCTACTATATAATAATTAGGAATATTTAATTAAGGTGCTCTTAAATATAGGTAGTATTATTTTTATAATATTTTTTTTAAAGGTTAAATAATGGAAGCTACCCCTTATTAAAAGAGTATACCTTAAATTTATACTGGCCTTTAATATAATATATATATAAAAAGTAGAATAGTATTATATGGAATAAATTATTTTCCAATATTAAAAAAACTACTTTATAAAGCTTAGCTTCGAATTAAGTACCTTTAATAGGGATTATAATATTATCCTACCTTAATAATAAATAAAAGAATATTAGCCTATTTATTTTTTCGAAGATATAAGAAAAATTATGTTCGTATTTAAGTATTGCTATAAAAATTATATTAGTTAAGCTATCCTTAATTTAAGGACTATTAAGGTTATAATAATTATACTTTAAATAGTTATTAAGGCGGTGATAGAATAAATCCTTAAAGAATTTAAGGAATTCCTTCTAATTATAACTAAAGCGGTAATATAACGGTTGCTTAACTATTAACCTTAAAATTATATAATCGACCTTATGGATAGGAAGGCTTTACCTTAAGGACCCCTTTACGCTATAAATAATTATAAATTAAATATGCTTAAACTATAGTTGGATAAAATGCTTAAAATTAATTATATTTATAAATCTATTATATTATATAGGGTACCCTTTATATTTGTAAAAAAGAAAGATCTAAATAATTTATTATACCCTATTATGGATTATCGAAGCTTTAACGCTATTATAATACCGGTAAGGTATTCTATTCCCTTTATTGTAAAATTTTAAGCTAGATTTCGGAAAGCTAAATAGTTTACTAAAATTAACTTAAAATCTAAATTTTATTTAATTAGAATTAAAAAGGGTTATAAATAAAAAATAGCATTTTGTTATAAATATAAACTTTTTAAATATATAATTATACCTATAGGACTTATTAATACTTTTATAACGTTTTAATTTATAATAAACTATATCTTTTAGGACCTTATTAATATAGGGCTACTTATATACCTTAATAACCTTTTAATTTATACGGAAATAAAGGAGGAATATAATAAAATAGTTAAAAAGGTATTATAACGTTTTAATAAGTATAATCTAATGGTAGTACCTTAAAAATATAAATGGTATATATACGAAATCGAATTCTTTAAATACGTTATTAATATTAATAGTATTTTAATAGTTTAAGATAAAATTAACTATATTATTAAATAGGAAGTATTAACTACCTTACGTAAATTATAATAATTTATTGGATTTATAAACTTCTATTGAAAATTCATTAAAAAGTTCTTATTAATTATAAAACTATTAATGGATGTAAATAAAATAGATCGATAATAATAAAAGTAAATAAAAGCTATAAATAAAGCCTTTTTTAAATTTAAATACTATTTTACTATAGCCCTTATATTTATCCATTTTAACCCCTTTAAAGTAGTTTATATTAAAACTAATGCTTTTAACTTTACCCTTGGAGCTGTGCTATTATAAAAGGATAATGATGGTAAACTCCACCCTATTGCCTTTCACTTCCGGAAGTTAATGCTGATAGAAATAAACTATAAAATACATAATAAAAAGCTATTTGTAATAGTGGACGGATTTAACTAGTAACGTTAATACCTAAAAGGCGTTTAATATTGGATTAAAATTTATTTTAACTATTAGAACTTGTTATATTTTATAATAGTTAAAGTCCTAAATAGATGATAGGCCCGTTGGGCGTAATAACTATTAACGTATTAGTTTATAATAAATTATTAACCTGGTAAATTAAACGAAAAGGCTAATATTATATTAAGATTAGCCTAATATTACTTTAAAAAAGGGGAAAGTAAAGATTAACCAATTAAATTAATCTTATAGGATAAATATTTTTCGTATTTTAAAGGATTAATATTTAATTTAATAACATTTATACTATTAACTTCTAAATGATTTTATAACCTTTTTATACTTAAATGGTTACTAAAATTTATTAAGCTTGTTAAAAAAGTAATAAAGGATAACCTAAAGTACTACCTATAAAAGGATAAGCCTTTTAAAGGTATAAAATTTATAAACAACTTACTATATAAAAAAGGACGCCTATAAGTACTTATAACTATATAATAAGAAGTAATAAAAATAAAGCATAATATATAAATAGCTAGGTATATAGGAATAAATAAAATGCTAGAACTTATTATAAAAAACTTCTAATAGCTTAACGTTAAAGTAACTATAAGGGACTTTATATAAAGTTGCTATATTTACCAATAGAATAAAGCCCTACGATATACCCCCTATAGATTACTTTAACCTATAAAGTTGCATTATATTCTATAACAATTAGTTATAATAGACTTTATTATTAACCTACCTTTATTTAATAGTTATAACTTTATTTAAGTAATAATAAATCCTTTTATAAAAATAAAATACTTTATACCTTTAAAAGTTAAAGAAAAAAAAACTAAAGATTTTATTAAAATTTTTATTAAGTATTATTAGAAATTATATAGTATACCTTTTAACATAATTTCTAATAAAAATTCTAGGTTTATAAGCTATTTATAAAAGGACTTCCTAAAGTTTATTAATATTAAACCCTATATAAATATAGCCTTTTATCCTTAAATTAATAAATAAATAAAATAGCTTAACTAAATTTTTAAAATTTACCTTCGAATATTTATTAATTATAAAATGTCTAACTAGGAAAACCTTTTATTAACTGTTAAATTCGTATATAATAATGCTATATTAGCTTTAACGCATATATCCCCCTTTTATACAAATTACGGTTACTATTTAACTATATATAACCTTCCTATAGTATAACCCTATAACCTATCTAATAGGTTATATGCCTATTAAATAACGTAGGTATATAAGGAAGTTAAAGAATAGTTAAAAAAGGCCTAACAGTATATAAAGGAATAAGCGGATAAAAGATAAAGGGTTCCGCCTTAATATACTAAAAATTAATTAATAATATTAAATATAAAAAATATTAAAACGAAAAGACTTATTAAAAAGTTAAACAAAAAAATACTTAATCCTTTTAAAATCTGTAAAGTAATTTTACCTACTGCTATTAAATTTGTATTATTTAAAGGTTGGAAAATCTATAATTTATTTTATATTTTATTTATTAAGCCCTATTGCGTTAATAATTAAGCATTGCCTAACCCTAACCAAATCCTATAGGAAGCGCCTTTAATAAAATTTAAAAACTATTAAATAAAAGAAATTAAAAACTTTTTAAAAACCTAAAGGAATATAAAGTACCTAGTTAAATGGGAAGGTTAGCTAGTTAAAAGGCATTGGATTTAGGAACCTTATAAATATATAAATAGCGTTAGTATAAAGGCTTTTATTAAATAGTTCCATTAATAAAATTTTAATAAACTAGCGGACTTTTAAACTATTATAATTCCAAATTTATAATCTACCTAAAGAATTGAGTTATACTTAAAGTCAAGCATTAAAAAGGAGGGAAATAATATTACATAGCTAAGACTTTAAAACCAAAGATAACTAATACAACCTATAAAGGAAAGTGAAGCTATAAACAATTAAATAAGGACAATCTATTAACTATAAAAAGACCAACAATTAAAGCATGAATACCTAACAGTTAAAAGGGAGTTACAGATTATATGAAGCCTAAATAAGCATAAATAGCTAAGGAATCTCCCACTCCAGGACAGGAGAAGGAGAAAGAGATCAAAGCCCTAGAAACCCCTAGTAGATTATTAATGAATATGACTAAGTTCCAAGCCCTCTCTATAAGAGCCCTTGTCACAGTAGGTGAGCGTGAAGGTAGTACCTTTCTACTCTAGGTATACTGTTACCCTACCTGATACACACACTTGAGCCCCTACAGATCATTTAGTATCAGGATTGCGCTTTAGCCGCGACTCCTCACTTCACAAAATCATGTACCTAGGACGGAGGTTACGGTCGCAGATATCCATCAGGCTTGGTATTGTCGGCGCACACTGGTGGTGATGGATATTTACGGCCCCAACCTCCGTACTTGTCAGTATGGAACTATGTAAGTTGATCTTCTCTTCTACGAGATCGTACCGGCCATTACTTTAGCGCCCGAATACATGCGCCCAAATAGGTAATGATCATTATTGGTAATACTCGGTACTTGTTAGCTCAGAAACCATACAATGGTCATCAGAAAGCTACATGTGTAAGCAGAATGAATACATGTCCATTTCTCATGATCTGCAGCTATCCTTCTAGTGCAGCTCATCTTCATGGACTTCTTAAAGGTTAGGGGCAAATAAACCAATGTTGATGAGTTTCTAGAACTTAAATTTCCACGTCGTTTCGTCTGTCGTACATGTCGCTATAACATTTAGAGAAATATAAGAATACTCCAAATACAGTCTAGCTAAGTGGGTATAATGCGGCGGCTCCCGTCGCGGCGGAGTGGTCTCGCAGACGCGAAGTCATATAGGGCAATGATGAGAGTTTGGTTTGATGCGTAGTGGGGGATGCGTAGCGGAAGTGAGCTCAACACTAAAGGGATGTACATTGCAGAGCGCAGCTGAAGCAGTCTGAAGGACATAGTCTAGCCTACGATGATATTGACAACTGCTACGGATATAGGGGGTGGTTTCAAGCCACTTGCATTGAACATATAATAAATATGAGTGCTCTTCTAGTGACGAGATCTAAAGTTCCGAGGTAGCGCCGTTGTCGTACACGCGAAGTGGGAGGACGCGTGAAGGGAAATGGGCTTCAAATGCGCTGATGAACTGAAACATCAGATCCTCTTTACCAGCCTGAGCCATTATGCCTAGTCCGTACGGGCGTCCATCTTCGGGGATGACGCCAAGGGGCATTGTTGCGATTGGGTAGCCTATGTTTTTGTTAGACTAGAGAATAATACAATCTGGATAGAGGCTAATCTATATTACCAGATGCAGCAGAGATAAACACCATCAGGCTGTCCATTGGGAACGCCAGGATGTTCAAATCTTGCTCACGAAATAGCTTGTCAATTCCATTATCTTTGGATATAGACTTCATCCGCGCCTTGACCGTTTCGTACATCTCCCTCGACGGAGGGTTCCGAGAAGCTTTGATCAACTGGTTTTGATCGGGATGACCTTAGAGGTATATCGGTCAGGATCTTGCAATCAGTGCGGGGATCTGTGCTTACTTTCTGGCAGTTCCACATCCTTGTGCTCTTCATTGAAACTGATAAGATCTTCAATCGTTTTCAAGCCTGGGACGTCGACCTCTGCCAGCCAGTTTTCAATTGGCTTTTTGGCCTCATAGGCTGTCGACAATCAGCATTCGGCTATAGGATTTGTTCGACACAACCTACAGATGACCACTTCGATGGGATTCTGTCCCTCATACCATAGATCAGTCGCGGGAGGTATGTCGACGGGGTAAACCACAGATCCGTCGGCGGCACATTCTTTAATGCGATCAAAAGCCGCGAAGTACATCTCAGTCTATCATATCGTTAGCCAATCCCGAGGAGCACAATCACCGCATACGCACCATCTGCTTCAGTATGATATCATCTAGTTTCACAATGTTCGGGTGAAGCGACCATTTTGTGGGATCGAGAAAACCTGTACGAAGTCCATTGAAGTTCCCAGTAAGAAACCCCAGGTAACCAGCCTCGGGTAGGAGTTGCCGCTTCTCTTCTGTGAGGGCTGCCTGGCTTAGAAGTGCCAGGTCTCTGGGGGACCGAGCAAGCCCGCCTACAACATCTAGCTCTAGAGAACTTTTGAAAACGCCGTCCATGTTGACAACATTGAATGCAGGCTTGAAAGCATATAGACCAGCCCTTGAACCTGGCATGACTATAGAGCCGATTGACTCGGTCCCTAGAGCCAAGGGAGCGTAGCCTGCTGAAACCCCCACAGCAGAGCCTGTCGAGGAGCCACAGGGATCCTGAGAGCTGGGTTAGCTCAAGCGTGGTATGACGATTCACCAAGATAGAATAGGCGGTATACACTTTGTCCCAATCCCGTCTCATTTGCCCTACGAGCAATATAGGCAGATTGGGTTTGTCCTCTGAGAGCCGACCAACCGTTCGAGTTTGCATCCCCCCTACAGTAGGATTAGATTTATGAAAATGGTTCGAGGAGACCAGCACACACTTGAAATTACAAAGCTCCTGTGAAGTACGAGTCAACGTTGGAACGCTCGAGGGTGCGGGATAGGGTGGTCGCTCACATTCAAATTCGTTTTGCCGAGCACAATTGCACCCATCTTCTCCAACTGTTCTACAGGGTCAGCATCTGCTATCGCATCTTGCATTGTGCCCGAGCTCTAACCTTGGCAACGATGCTGGCACTTTTGGGGGCAATCGAGTCCTTGAGGGCAAGGCTGCCCAGTGTCGTCGCGAGTTCGAGGGACGGCGATGTGGCAATGGCATCCTATGCGGGTTCAGTCATTCAGGGTCGCCAGGATGCTTATACTGAGACAGCCGACCTTGACCAGGATGGGAATGCCGTGAAATGGACTCCTGACAAGACCCGCCGTCCTTTCACGGTCGAGCTGTGCCGAGCGCTCCATGAGGAGGTGATGAGGAGTGATGGAAATCATAGCGTTCAGCTTGGCGCCCTGTTGATCGTGCTTGTCGATTTGTGCGAGGCATGCCTGCACCAGCTCGACACTGGTGAGCACACCAGCATCGAGCTTTCTCTGCAAGGCCGCAGAGTCAAGACTCAGCAGCTCGGCCGTGGACAGATTCGGTGCCATGCTAGAAAATGGAAGCGAGCGGAAGATGAAAGAGAGTACGACAGTTAACGACGACGAGATCAGGGTTAGCGGGGTGCGGCAACCAAAGCGAGATCCTCTCATGTTGCCAGGGAGCTTGAGGTGTCTATCTCTTTACAGGATTAGATAGCTTTGCCTAGGTACCGCATACACTCGCAAAACTCGAACAACACTAACACAGCACTACCGGCCATATAGCCAATCATACAACGTTATTTCCTGGGGAAGTGGGTATGATCTTCACTTCCCTAGGAAATAACGCTATATGATTAGCTATAGGCTATTAATTGTTAAATATAAGGGGTTATATCTTAAGCCAAGATATTGGGTAAACGGGGATTGTAGGGTAAACCCACGTTAGGAAGATAAGGGCCTTCATAAAATCTTTGCATAGTAAGGCACGTTATATAAAAAATAATAAAATTAATTAATATATTAAATTCTATATATTATTACTTAACTATATTTAATAATTAAAAGTTTTATTACTATTTTTAACTATTATTAAATAAGCTATTAATTTAATTAAATAATTAATATATATAAATTAATTAATTAAAATATAAAAATTATATTAAAATATTTAAATAACTTTTATATTTAAAATTAAAAACTTAAAAGTAAAGCTATTAGTTTAAATTTTTAAGATTATATTATTTTAAACTTAAATATAAAAATATTATAATTAAAATAACTTATAATATTTAAAGTTAAAGATTATTTAAAAGTAATAAATATATTAATATTTTTTATAAGGTTTTTATTAATAATAAATTATAAAATTATTAATTTAAAATATATTTAAAATATAATTAAAATAATTACCTTTAAATAAACTATATATAATATTAATTTAAATAATTATAATATAATAATCCTTAATATATTAAGGATCCTATTATTAATATAAAGCTAGGATAAGATTTATTAAAGTAACTTTAAGTATTATAAAGCAATTAAGCTTTAACGGTTTATTTATATACCTATAAGGCGTATTTTAATATAAATATTATATAATTAATATTAAAGGTTATTAAGTAAAGTATTACCTTTATTTTAAAAACTTAATATAAATTTAAATTAAATAATAAAGTAAGAATTAATTAGTTATATAAGAAATGCTTATTATTATATAAACTATCTTTCCTTTACTTTTAGCCTTTAACCTATTATAGCTTACCTTACCTATTAGGCTTACCTTAAGGTAAGCTAGGTATCCCAGGTAAGCTAGGTAAATCGTTATATAATCTATACCTGTTAATAGCCCTTTACTAGCCCTATTTATCATTTTATACCTAACTTCCCTTTTAGTTAATCTTTAATCCTTTTAATAGGCCGCTTTTATTTATTAATTTATAACATTATCCCTTTTTTCCTAAGTTTTTATTATCCTTAGGGTTAGGGTTAGGGTTAGGGTTAGGGTTAGGGTTAGGGTTAGGGTTAGGGTTAGGGTTAGGGTTAGGGTTAGGGTTAGGGTTAGGGTTAGG